GATTTTATGTATAGAAACTTTCTCAAGTGGGACAAAGACTTACAGAATCAACACCATTCATGTCAAAAAAGCCTGTTGGTCCTTTCTCATTAAGCATTGACAACAAACAAGCCAATAACAGGGAGCGGTATCTCTGTTGATTACCCACTCTTTCACTCCGAAGAAGGGCAAAGATCTTACGTATATCCTTCCCAGAAATACTGTGGCCACCAATTGTCCGAGTTAGCTGTGTTATTTTCAAGATAACACTATCATCATCTTCCACAGAAAACCAATCGAGAAGAAGGTTAAGCATTCCTGCCCGAACACATGAAGCACGATTTGATATGGAATCCCTAAGGAGCTGTTGAAACAAATTTAGCCCATAACACTGCAAAGACTCGCTGCTCTGCCAAATCACCCAACTCCACAGTAAGGATATATCCCAAAACCAAAATATGGGCAAAGGAATATCCAAATAATAAGAATTGCACCAACCTTCTGAAGTACATTTAAGTACAGTATGATAACATCTTCATTCTGAGTAGGATAAAAAAATTAAACATGGACACAGGAAAAAAGAATTAGACAACATTAAATAGTTATAAAATAACATAAATAAGATCATTAACAAATAAATTATGAAAACCACATCACCTTAATAAGAGCACTGCCTTTCTCATCAAATTTGCCATCAACAAGCATATCAAGTAGTGCGTCTAGGAGCCTTTGGGTAGGTTTCCATTGGAAGAAATCCAATAATAAGCTTTGTAGTGTCTGGTAACCCTTGCCAGCAAGGGCTTTAAATGCAAACTGAAGGGCACAAAAGAAGCAGTAGCAAAAACAAATTATACTAGTGCAAGAGACCTTTAGGTCCACCTTACTCAGAAAGTCTTCCTAAACTATCGAATAAGCATGGTCTTTATGTTCTACTATCAGACCATTTGAGATCAAAGTTCAATGCCCAGATTTATTTCATTATTGCTTCAGTCCTAAAGTCCTAAATCAAGTTAAGTAATGCTGACACGTCATCCAGAGAAAAGCCTTATCTACATGGATAGTGAGAAGAGGTGTGGTATTTGTGTTTTGCTAGCATGGTAAATAGGAACTTTTGAAGAAGAAACTATATTAATGTCGCCAATAAGCTATAAAAATCTAATACTTCCATCAACCCCATGCTTTTTTCCTCATCCCTAGGTGATTAGTGAACAGGCCATTTTTAAATGACCCTTACTTTAGTGAAGAGCAAACGAAAAGAAGAATCACCTTTGAGGCATCATTATTTGCAAGCAGGGAAGTAAGAGTCTGAAGGACATTTAAAACCAACTTTTCTCCATACGATTCATCGAGATTCCCATTTAAGAGAGAGACAATGTGTAAGAAACACTCCCCCTCATGGAATAGAGCTTGGTAATACTGAAGGACGAAACAATAGAGAAGAAAAATTAGAGGAAGCAACAAATAAAGATAAGAAGCTACAGCAGGAGTAGATAATGCCGAAAAGAAGTTACAAGCACTTAGTAAAAAATTTAGAGCCATACCTTCGAATCAGTCTTGATCAAATCCCTCATACCCGCCAGTAAATCAACAGATAGGTCAACAAAGTCATTTTCTCTTTCCTTCACTTGAGTGAAAGTTTCTAGATATTTGGAACACACTTGTAATTTTGCTCTTTTGTCTTCCTCACACAGAGGTGTGATCTGAAAAATTGGATAAGAAATCCTTTTCATGCTCTGTAACAAGCTAAAAGACCAACAGACATACTAAAAACTTATACTAATTTGAAAGAAATACCTTCATGAGATCCATAATGTGTTTCATCACATTTTTTCTTACTGCTTTTTCCCAAAATAGCTCAAAAAGACAATCAACACAAACGGAGCTTCTCAAAACATATATTTTTGCATCATCTGTTGATGAGAAAAACTCTGTGAAAATCCCCAAGCATGCTTCCATGCATTCAACCCAACAATCCTCCGTACGACTTGAATCAGACTTCTTAAGAGGTGAATCAACTATAACTCCAATGTCACTACTTTCTACTAAAGAGCTAACACAATCGGACTTTCTACTTTCCCTGGCTTGAGTGCAAGCCAATCTGAGCACACGACAAGCTCCATTCAATGCCTTAAAAGAAAGTTTATTTTCACGCGAAAGCTGTAACAAGCGTAACAGTCGCTGTGAAAGACCATTTGCGATCCTGGGTTGTGTAGAAGCAGACTGCTCAAGAGCATCTAAAAGAACAGATACACTGGGCTGCAATCACACACAACAAAAAAAAAAAATCTAAATCCAGAATGATCACAGAAATCCAGCGACTAGCAAAGGAGAAGCAAGCAACAATGGATGATAAATATTCCGATATTGTACTAAACCCACATTCTTGTTCTATTTTCAAGCAATCACAACACTTAAGACCAGAAGCATCCGAGAAAGCTGTAAAGGAAATGCGTACCGAATGAGACGCAGTAGCATCGGAACTTGAAGCCGATTCCATTAGGGCAAAATCGGTAATCGTGTCAATGATCTGTTTCAAGATCTCTAGCGGACGGTTCGATCTCACAAGAAATTCTCCGAAGCACGCACATAACCGTTCACTTGAATCGCTGCAAAGGAGAGAAATGGCGAAGAATAAGCCTTCCTCAAGTCTGTCTGTGATAAGAAGCTGCTACAGAAGCATCGGAGAGCATTTACCCCCAAATTTCTGCAATCTGCAGAAACGAAAGAGTGCAGACAAGTATCTAGAATTTACAAAAGCGACTCCTTTTATTTAGTATATATTCCATAATTTTCCCCTTACATTATAGTTATGTCAACGGGATCCACTATTGTTTTGTAATGTTTAAATTTATGAGAAAATTTGGCAAGTAAGACTTTAAAAAAACTATAATAGGCAAACAAGTATTTCACTGTTCATAATTGCCCTAATGTACCTATTGGCTAGAATGCGCCGCCGAGATATACGAGAAGACCTCTCTAGAGTCTAGA